GAGCCGCCTGGATGTCGGCGGGCAGGTTGAGCAGGGAGCTGTAGATGTCGCACTGGGTGATGCCCGTGCTGTACGTGGCGCACTCCATCCACAGCCCCCTGGTGAAGCTGACGGCTGTCACGATGCTGGAGCCAATGTAGGCGCTGGTCTTCCAGCTGGGCAGCAGAGTGGCCGTCAGCGTGCCGATGTAGCCCAGGAAGGCTATGGCATAGCCCAGCAGCTGGAGCCCCATGGAGACCATGGTGGAAGTTAGCTGTCACCTCCCTGCAGCTCACAGCTCCTCGTCCGCCTTGCTGGTGCCTTGCTCCTGCGCTCTTACCTTCCCATGGCCCCGCTCACGGCGCCGCAGCTCCACCCCGTGCTGGGGGGTGCTGGTTTTGTGTGGGCACCAGCGCGTGGGTGGGAGCCAGGGGGGAGGAGAGGTTACCTGCGAGAGTGGAAAGCAATCCCTCCCCAATTAACGATTGACCCAAGGCTGCGGAGGAGCGCCAAGCGCCCTTTCACCTCTGCTATCTCCCCAGCCAGGCTTCAGAGGCAGAGCAGCGCTGCCTGGGAAGGACGCCAAAGCCCTCCCTTGCGCCGGGGCCGTGGGCAGGGATGGAGAGCCGGCCGCTGGCGGGGGGAAAATGCCTGCTGCCTCCCTGGGGGTCCCTGCAATGTCCTGAGCCAAGGAAGCCAAAAAGCTATGGCTGCGCCATGCTATTTGAGATCTGTTGGAGGTGATTTGGGGTGGTGGCCCTGAGGCTTCCCCAGCTGAGGAAGGGGGATTTTTGCCTTGTCCCCATCTGCACGGGGCTCACTCGAGGCATCTGCAGCCACCCACTGCTCACCCCAGACTGCTGAGGCTCTGACGAGACAATGGGATGTGCCCACCTGAGGTTGAACCACGGCTATTGGCCTTTCCGTGCTGCTGGGGTCAAGGATGGAGAGGGATGCATGTGACAGTGACACCTGCATCCCCAGGGGAGCATGGAAACCTGTGGAGGGCACAATTATATTAGGGCAAAGCACGCTGGCAGCGCCTCAGGGATGCTTCAAGGAGCACCCCGGCCAAGCAGGGTGACCCATCCCTCGGTGGGGTGACCACACTGGGGTGCAGCTCACGCTTGCTGTTGTCAGTGGGGTTTTTTCTGCCAGTGCCATCTCCTCCCTGCAGCCCTGGGCGCAGACTTGGGGAGTGGGGCAGTGGCGGTACAGGGGGGAGGTTTGTTTTCCCTTTCTCTGCCTTATTTCAAAATTCCCCCTCCCGCTGCATCTTGCGAAACCAGACTAAGCCCACGCCAACCCGCGCTGACACCGCAGCCATTGGCCTCTCGCCCCAGGGACGCTCCCTGCTGAGAGTGCCCAGCACCTCCACTCCTTTCCCCATCCACCCGCCAGCACCTCAAATGCTTGGCACCAAAGTTTCACCAACTTTCTGTCTTCTTTCTGTGCACTAACCAAGACCTCCCACTCCATCTCAGGGGTGTTGCTGGAAAAGAAACACCTGGGGTGCTCAAGGTGCTGGCAAAAAGGGCCAGGAGGGTCATGCCAGGGCTCTGTGGTACTTACGGAGGCAGCTGGAGACACAGCGTGGGACCAAGGGTGGCCACGGCCAGGGGCTGCCCAGGACTGGAGGTGGCTGCCTGGGGCAGGACGAGCGGCCGGGGCCCCAACCCGGGGGGATCAGGGGCCGTGAATTGTTTAGCTACGGCTTTGCAAAATCCACCTGCAAATCTCAGCCTGGCTCAGAGGCTTATTGCAGATCTGAATTAAACCCTTTCAGCATCGGGAAGTTTTGGGAAGCTGGGATGTCTCGTTTTGCTCGCTGTCTATTAATTACCATGATAGGTTTGCCGAAGTGGCTCAGGTCTGTGGCTTGCTGTCACCTTTCTGGCCAGCCTCACTGGCCACCGGGTGTCTGTGTGCCACCGTTCCCGTGTCTGCTTTGGGCTGTGTTGCCTGTGCTGGGGTCAGAGGGGTGGTGAAATGCCGGCAGGTTGAAATCCCTATGAGTGGGGTGAGCTCAGGCTTTCAGTTCGCTCCTCCTGGCCCTGCTTGTCCTCTGCAGGGTTTGTTGTTGTAAGACTCCTGGCCCAAATGAGGAGCAAATGGAGGCGGTAATGAGGGCTGTGCTGGCCCCGTGCCCCCTCCCGCTTGCTGGCTGCTGCAGATGGAGAGGGGCAGGGAGGGCCCCTGGTGACAAATTGTGCCTGAAGCTGAGCAGGGTCCAGCCGGTGTTTGGACAGGGGTGTTTGGATGCTGATAGCAGAGCTACAGCAGGGACCATTTGCTATTTTCTTTCCTTGTCTCAAATTGAAACCCTCTTGGGAGTGGGAGGTGAGCTGTCTGCCAGCAGCACCTCACTGCGAGCAGCGGGCAGGAGCAGCGGGCAGGGAGAGGTTCCTTTTGGGGGTAAGCGAGACTTGCACCCTCATATTGAGAACTTTTCTGTACCCCCCATATGGTCCACATCTCAGAAAGCCAAAGGAGAGGGCAGGGAGCACAGGCAAGTCCATGCTCTCCTCACTGCGCTGGCAGGGGCCATGGATGCCTGAGCAGGGCCTTTGCCCTGCCTGTGGCTGGGATCCACATTTCCCATCCGTCTTCCCTCCCTGTCCTCTCTTACCTCCCCCACTCCTTCACCTGCCTCCTGGTTGCTCTGTGTGCCACCACTGCAGCCCATCACGCTGTCCCAACCACGTGCCCACTATGCTGTCCTCACCATGCCCATGGTGCTGGCCACATCCCAAGCCCACCACACCATCCCCATGGCACCAGGCTGTCCCATCACATGGCCATTGCACTCTCCCCATCCCATGCCTATTGTGCTGCCCCAGCGCTCCCCATCCCTTCCCCTCCTCCCTCCTCCCTTATGAAAATGGCTACAAAGAGCACTTAATCATCTTTGTTAATTGTCTCTGCCCTCCTCTGTTCCCCCCTGGGGATTTTCTCACAAATGGTGTCTAACTTTTCCCTTCTGTGTTTTGCTTTTCCACCAGAGATTGCAGCCCCTCCACCCCCAGCCTCCCCCGGACTCTCTGTTTACACAACTGGGACAAATTTCACACCCCAGGGATTGCTGTCCCCGCACCCCCAGTCCCTCACTCCCTTGCCCCTGCCCCGGAGAATCTGTGAGTCACTGGCTGGGGCAGGGCTATAAAGCTCTCTGTAGCATCAGAGGGGACACCACTGCCTGCCACCATGGAAGCTGCTGCCTGTTGCCTGCCTCCCTGTGGGCTCCAGGTGCCCATGGCCAGGGTTTGCCCGGCCCCAGCAAGGGAGCAAGGGGGAAGGTACCTGGGTGCTGCACAGCCTGGGGAGACTGGGGAGGGTGGAAAGGGCAGCGGGTGTGCAGGAGGTGGGATGGGGAAGGCTCCAGCTGGGTTCAGATGAAGGCTGTGTGCCTCCCTGCTCTGATGGGGACCCCTCTGACCTCAGCAGCTGCAGGTGGGAGAGAGGGTGCAGAGCCCAGGCAGCAATGCTGCAGGCTCCCAAGGGTGCTGGGGGGGCTGGAGCAGGGCAAGGAGCGCTGAGGCTGTGGTGGTACAAGTGCACTTGCATATGCCTGGCACCCCAGCCATGCACCCGGGCAGGGGCAGAGTTGGGTGGGTGAAACAGTGGGACTGAGGGCGTGTGGCTGTGATGGGGGGAAGCGAGGGAAGGAGGAGTGTGCCAGGGTGGACGGCTGTGGCGCTGAACCTGCTTTCTGCACCTAGATCCCCGCCACTCTGGAGACCGTGGCTGCCCCGAGCAGAGGAAGGAACCGGATGGCGGAGGGAGCAGTCAGACACTGTGAGTTTTGCACTCCCTGCTCTGTCCCCCTCCCAGTTTCCCACTGGCAGGGTTGGGGTCCCTCTTCTGCAGAAAACCAGCCCCTGATTCCAGACTCCTTTACCCTTAGCACTGTTGCATGGCAGCACCATGCCTACCTCCCCTGGTGGATCACCACCTACCCCACAAATACCACCACGCTGGGGCAGGGCCAGGGCCAGGCAGACCTTCCCTGGGCAGCCACAGCCAGCACAGAACCTGAAAGGGCTGTCTGTTCCCAGGCCTGGCGGGTGGGCATTCCTCAGGGGGTTAGCGAGACGCCTGGGCACGAGTTTTTGAGCACGGGGGGAAGATTACGCTGGCAAAAAGCCCACTGTGGGGTGGGAGGGTAGATGCCAGCTTCCTTTGCAGGGGCATGAGGACCTAAACCCAGGCACAGAGGACGAGGGAGATGTCAGCTTCAGGGCAGGCTGACCCTGCAGAGGTCTACCAGGTCTGTGGGGCATCACCCCCACCAAGGGGAGAGAAGGTCCCGGTCCTCGCTGCCAGCTGGGCTCCCCATGGGCACTGCTGCTGCTGGGCCAGGAGGAGGAGGGGGCAGTGGAAGCCCCAGGGTAGGTCCTACCCCAACTGTTTCTCCTCAGGCTTGGACTCGGGAGGCAGCAGGGGATGGCGGCCCAGACAAAGCACTGACGTTTTTCCACCACCCAGTCAGGTACGTCCCCTGCCCCCGGTGCCCTGGCCGCGACCGACCGAGGGCAGTGGGCAGGCGGGGGCTCTCACCCCGGATCTCCCCACGCAGGCTCCTGTGGCCCAAGTCCAAGTCCTTTGACTATCTGTACGGCGTGGGGGAGAAGCTGCTAGAGAACTTCCCGGTGCAGGCCACCCTCTGCCTCTACGACGACTCGGGCAGCGAGGACGAGGAAGAGGAGGAGGAAGAGGAAGAGGAGG